TATATAGCTAAGGCTGATGACCCGAGATGCCCGTAAATTCTTTTTACCGCCAAATAAAAAGTGGAGATCGGCGCTGATAGTAAAGGGATTAGGACGTGATGTTCCCTTCACTCCTTTGTCCAACAGGCTTTGGTCGTTGTGGGCAATAAAGGGGGCTAACAAGATTTCGGATATGTCGAATGGTTGCTATCTTGTGAAATTTAAAGTCAAGGAAGAATATGAGTATGCGGAATCAGGAGGGCCATGGATGATTGGCGACACGTATCTTACTGTGATACGGTGGTATAAGGGCTTAATCCGTGGAAGTCTACAGTTAATTCAGCTATGGTCCGGGCTCAACTCCTCGAACTCCCTGTGGAATTCTACAATAAGGTTGCTGTTGATCGTATTGCCCAATGAATAGAAAGACCAATCAGAGTGGATCGAGCAACTTTGATGGGGCACGAGTCAAATATGCAAGAGTATGCGTTGAAGTCGAATTAACGAAACCCTTACTGTCTCAATATAAAATTGAAGGAGTTACGTATCTAGTGGGGTATGAGGGATTACATAAGCTATGTGGTAAATGTGGGTGTTATGACTTCCATGGTGAGGAATGCCCAGTTAGGCCTAGTGAAGAGACACAACCGGAAGACAAGGTTCAGGATAATTGGGAGGCCTCTACCCCTGCTGAGACACCCTCCAAACAAGTCTATAGGGAATGGATGGTTGTCCAAAAGAAAGTGTGGAGGCCAAATCGAAAACAACCGGGTAATGAAAGGAGAGATGGAATTGACCAAGGGAGGCGAGTGAACACAGGCAGCAGGTTCAACGTGTTGCATGAGGAAGGGGAAGATGGCCATGCAAGTGTAACCCAACATGCGTAGGCTTCTCAGCAAGCGAAGCCAAAACAACCGAAGGTTGTGCCACAAATGAAAAATGCTCCAGTAGTGAGGCAAAATGTCCAACAGAAGAAAAATCCCAATGAAAACAACCCAACGAAAACACCAGGTACAAAGAACTTGAAGGATGGTACTGGCAAGAAGAACCAAGTGTCTCCTCCTCCCCAAACATCAGGCCAAGCTCCAGGGGTAGAAGGCACGACCAAGATTCTTTTCCGTGCAGTGCAGAATGCTAGCAAGACGCCTAACCAAGGAGACAAAGATAAGTCCAAAAAGAGTCAACAGAAGGTCAATGGAAAAGAACATGTAGATAAGATGGAGATCGAGAAACAAAATATGTCTACTAGTCAGACTACTAATGGTGAAGGCGCGGGGATCCCATCCCCTTTGGGTAATTAATGTGCATTCTTAGCTATAACTGTCGCGGATTGAGAAGCAAGTGAGCAGTTAAAGCTTTAAAGTCACTCTTGCGACAAGCTTCTTCGCATGTAGTCCTTCTAATGGAAACGAAGCAAACGGAAGATGAGAATGAAGAGACCCAGCCTGAGCTTGGTTTTGAGCATGGTAAAAGCTGGCCCACAAACACAACAGGAGGAGGATGAGCTGGTGGCCTCATCATTTGGTGGACGTTAGACGTCTCTCTAACTTGCATGGATGCTACCGCTAACTTCCTAGACATGCAGGTCAATGACCCGAGCAAAGAGCCTTGGCGGTTCTCTGGGGTGTATGGGGTGGCCGGAAAGCAAAGATAAAGAGAAAACTAATGATTTGATTAGGGAACTATCTCATCGATGGGGAGGACCATGGCTAGTCGGCGGTGATCTGAACCAAATAAAAGGAACGGAAGAGAAAAGTGGCGGTAGGCGGGCAGTGGAGGCAGAGATGAGTAGATTTTCCAACTGTCTGGTTGAGGCGGGCCTAAATGATCTAGGATTCCGAGGTATGAATTTACTTGGGAGAACAGAAGAGGTGAAGAAGGATATATTGAAGAGCGATTGGATCGTTTTCTTGGAAATGATCTCTGGCAAGCGAGATTAGTTAGTTAGTTGTACTTGGCCTATATTGGCTCTTTCGTTTTTTTTTGTAAATGACTAATAAACTAAAACAAACTTTGTTTTTGCTTACTGATAACATTATATTCAATGACAAATAAAATTTTATGCTCAAATTAAAATAAAATTCATGGAAATCATCGTCTTAACTAATTATTACTATCTTTATTATCTAATTAAAATTATGAAATGTAAAGTAAACTAAATTATTGTTGGAGCAAACCCATCTTTTTAAGAGTTTAAATATCAAAATCGTCATTGGAAGTTGTGATTGTTTTGGTGAGATTATTACTATACATGTATTATTTAGAATGCATCATTTTTTATCAGAAACAATACATGGATTCTTTTTGTGATGTGGCAGAAACTATCACTCAAATGTGTGATTGATATGTCTCAGTGGTCGTTTGGTTTTGGTGATACTTAAATCAATGCATTGTGATCAATGCATGCATTGTAATATACATTCAATTAAGGAATATGATGTAATGTACTTTACATTGTTTGGTTTTGGTGATAGTTCTTTTAGTATTCAACCCGTGGAAAACGCGCTTTGACAGATTGCGGGCCGAATTCGGGTTTAAACCCGCTATACTTTTTGTGGGTTGGATTGAGTTGGTTTAGCCCTATCCAACCCATGGATACCCGCACCCAAGTCCATACCCCCCATGACCCACGAAACCCTTAACTAATTAACTATAATTTCTAAATCTCACACATTCAATTAATCATATGATTTATGGATGTTTATCTTTAATATTGAACAATAGTATGAATGATTTGTGAGTTAGTGTGTATGTAGTAGACAATAGTAGTGAAAATTAGTGTGATTGCATCTTTATACATGAACTCATGGGTACCCATGAACCCGCAGATACATAGCAGGTTGAGTTTGAGTTTTCCAAATCCAGTGGGTTTTCCCCGAGTTTTTTTTTTTTTTTTTTTTTTTTTGCGGATAAACCCATGAGTTTGGATTTGGCATAACCCCTCCCCCCTACCTGACCCATTGTCATCCCTAATTGTAACTATCACAACCAAACAATCACCAAAACCAATGACCCCTCAGTTTTAATTGTGATTGTTGAGATTGTTTTGTCTCAGCTTTTAGCACTTGTGACATGCACAATCACACATATCAAATATTGTATTTTACAATGCATCAAATTTGACAATACATGTATAGTAATATAACTGCATTTCCAAATGATTTCTCATTAATTGATATTACAAAATACATTAATTCTTTACACTCTTAAGTGAGCCTCTTTTGATATTCCCACTAAACAATCATTAACAAACTGATCATCAATTCGACTTCGAAACTTGTTCTTAATATATCAATCTAAAAATGCTCTTTTTATGTTCAGAGTTGCAACTAGTAGTAGGGGTGTACATAGGTCGGGTGGTCCGGGTTTAGCCATTTTAATCACCCGACCCATGCACTACGGTTTGAAAAATATTAAATCCAAACCCACCCAAAAAAATTAAAACCCTACGGTTTGTTTCTAATCGGGTTGGGTCGGGTTGACGATATTTTTAAGTAAAAACTCAACCCAACACAAAATATGTAATTATTCTACACCACAAAAATATTTTTATAACTAATTAAAATTTTAAACGAATAAATCGAGGTGAAAGTTATCAAAATTCACCAATGTTGTTTGAATTTTAATAAAATGTGATTTACTTGAACACATGTCTAGTTTTTTCACGATATTTTGTTTAAATAGGCTAAAAAGGTTATAAACGAACGCATCCATAATATGTTACTCTATTAAAATTGTACACAACAAAAAGGATTACGTGAATTATAGCTATATTAAATTTATGTCTAAACTTTAAATCGAAGAATGCATTAGATTAGGGAGACCATGAGAGGAAACATGGCAAAATATCTTAATTTTCTCATAAGTATGGCTATATACGACTTAAATATTTTTTGTATACGAACTTATACCAATAGTTGGAACACGGGTTGGGTCGGGTTCTACGGGTTGTGCAATCCAAAATCCGAACCCAACCCAAAAGAGGCAGGTTGTACAAAAGAAAACCCTCACCCAACCCAAAACCTTAGTTTTAGCGATAAATACGGGTGGGTTGGGTCGGATTGGACGGATGGGTCGGTTTGCAGGTGTGTTTATTCACCCCTAACAGGTAGTATCAAAACTAATTTCAGAAGCAAATAAACTTACCGATATAACCTATGCACTTTTGTCTCCACCATGATCTGAGATCATTTATCAATATCTTTCAATCCAACAAATCTCTCATCAGCCATAAAATAATTATAATACCCAACAATTTGTTGTCGAATAATAGTGTCATGAATAGGGTGGCAATGGGTTGGGTTGGGTCGGGTTTTTTCAAACCCAAACCCATGGGTTTATCCGTGAAAAAAACCCTGGGTAAAAACCCACTGGGTTTGAAAAACTCAAACCCTACCCAAACCGCTGGGTATCCGCGGGTTCATGGGTACCCACGGGTTTTGTCTTAAAAAATTTACAATAACAAGTTTCTATCAAAATTAAAGTCAAATATCAATATCTCAATACAAATTATCCATATATAAAACATCATTCTAGAAAATTCAAGCAAATCACAAATTAACTATACAAATTGTTCACAAATTATCCATAAATAACATGATTAATTGAAAGCTTCTTCCTTTCAATTAAGTTTCTTCTCTCCACTCGATAACATCAACTCAATTCTACACAATTAGAAAGAAAAAATTAGACATGTTTCCACAAACATAAATAAAATTAGTTGTTTAGAATATTAAATATACCTAAAAAAATAATTATATGAGTGTGGGCGGGGACCCATGGGTCAGGTTTACCTAAACACAAACCCAACCCGGTGAATAGTGAACGAGTTTAAACCCAAACCGGCCTGAAACCCGTCAACACGAATTTTACCCGCGTTGACCGGGTTGGGTCGGGTGTGTACCCATGGGTTCGGGTTTTGTTGTCATCTCTAGACTCATGAATAAAACCAATAAATTCATTACTTTTTAACAATTAATGAACAAGTCTATCTATACAATAAATAAAAGTCAAATAGAAAAACTGCAGGCCCCATTTCAAATTTCCTGGATAGAGAGCGTTTCATGGAAGGGTATTGTTGGAAAGTGAAATTTTAGGTCCCCGGTTGTAATTGTGGCTTTGATCGGGCCTATTCTTTATTACGGCCCACTAATACCCTTGCTGTTACCCCTTCAATCCGCCGCGACGAACAAAGGTGCCGGAGTCAGCGATTCTTTCCTCCTACGCTTCACCTACACCCTTCCTCTGCTACCAATGTCGATATCTGGGTGTTCCTCAGTTCCTCCTCACCGCCTCTACCTACCTTCCCATCACTGCTTCGTCCTCACCTCCTCTCCTGTATCCTATAGGTATGGCTTTGTTGAATACGGAAATTCGAAGAAATTGGCTTCAGTTTACTGAGCTTCTCTCATTAGCTACAAAGGATGAATCGCTTCTCAGTTGCGACTACCTTCACTTCAGCTGTCATTTAAATTGAATCATTGTGTGTGATAGGCTTTCAATTTGGCGGTCTCCAGTCTTCCTGTTTGCGACACTCTTAAAAAATTCTTCCCAGGCTGTGGTTCCCAAAACCATCTACGGTTGGTTTAACCCCTTTCAGGTACAGTTTATTTCTTCTCACTTCTGATTTCCCAGGTACTTGATGTTATTCTGCATTCCAACTCTGAAATACACCATCAAATGTGTAGGGATAGCCTTTATGTTTAATTGACGTTTTGATTCCACATGCAGCCATCGAGTCTTCTTTAATGTCATTCACTTTCTTCATTGCTATCTCATTGTTTCTCTACAATAGCATGAACTAAGTTAATTTAGCTCATTCTAGCTTCAATATGAGAAAGCTTTGACCCTAATTCAGTATGTAAATAAGGAAGCAGTAAGGGAGGATAAAGTTTGAAGACGACTGCTAGCTTCAACAAGTGGGATGAATCTCCAAGCCAGACTCCATTCAATCACGATTTCAGAAGCTGAGTGGACTTTTAGAGGTCTATAAGTAATGAATTATCTCAAGCAGGCCTCCAAAAGAGACTAAGGAACAACGAATTGGCATTCTCCGGCACTGGACATTTTTTTGTGGCCATCTAATGCTTGACTCAGGGCTACCTTGACGGTGATGGTTATGATGGCTGTGAAACTAACCACCCGGTGAGCTCTCTTCCTAGGTTAGTTCACACACTACCCTTAGAAGTTTGAAACAACTATTTTCAGCAGTGGTGATCTTCATACTAACTGATATTAGAACACACAAAGTTATGTACTTATGAATGTGAAAGTTGGCTACCGACTGGGATTACTTTACTAGGTCTGTATTTTGTAGATTGCTTAGCTTGGGTTCTGTGGATCCTGCTCTTTCCTTATATGAATCATTTTTCTCTGCTTGGATGAGTTGTTCTTTTGGATGTGAGTTCTGGCAATTGGGAGGAATCTACAAAGGGTGATAAATTTTGTGGTCGTTTGTTATCTTATCTAGGTTTTATGCCTCCTTAGTTTCATTTAAGAGGCATCCCTATTTCTGTCAAGTGTTTGCTTTATGATTACAATGTGAAACATCAAACTACTTTGACATGAAATAGTTGATTCGGATGTATCTATAGCTTAAAGCTACCAAATTAAACCTCTTAAAATATTTATGCTAGCACTTTCTGCAACTTTCCGTATTCACTTTCTGCACTTATGAAATATTTGAATAGTTCCCGTGAAGCCCTCTATCCAACCTACATGTGGTCTATTAGTTGATTCATGGGGGAAAATAGACAAAATCGCATATTGATTGTAATCACAGCTATAATATGCGATCTCTCTAGATTCAGGATTGGAACTACATAAAAGTATGTTTGCCAAGTCTGCTCTTTATGTATCTTCCAACTGTTTCTGGCTTCAGCTATTTGTGACTTTCATGTGGTTCTATTGACATTCAAGAGTCATATATTGCTGTCTGCAGGTTGGTTCTGAAGCTTAAGTTATCTTTCTGTGATTTTGGCGAATGGTTTATGTGAAACCCCAGAAGGTTAGTGCATGAATACACGGTTCCATGTTTATTTTAAGTGATGTCTCTCTGCACTAATATTCCGTTTGTGTAACGTCGATCTGGAATTCTCTTCTGAAACCCGAAAGGGACTATTTCAATAAATCTGATTATTGAAAGATAAGTAATTGATTTCGTTTGTTTGTTGTTAGTAGAGGCAGGTGTGTAAATTTGTAAGCTGAATGGTTGTTTCTTGTCCTCCATTGATGTAGATATATACACCCAACTATATTTTCTTTCATTATGGATACAATTACATTTGAGTGTGGCGCTTGATTCCCCTGTATTATGATATATTTTTTTTCCATATAGAAAACCCAGTTTATGCAAAATCACACATTGTTGCTTTTTGGTTCATTAGGTCGTGAGTTGATGTTCTGATTTAATGATCAAACCACTTGAAAGCATACACTGCTACTGAAAGGTCAGCCTGCCTGTTTCCTTCTTCAGAATGTCCAAAACCTAAATATGTTTCCTTGTCACGTTTGTCTCCCCTTACTGTGTTTAGTTCCTCCATCTGAATTTGTGCAACTATGATTGGCAGAGGTAGTTCTAAATGGATTAAACCGGATAATGGGAAGGAGGCTACAGGCTGTGTGATTGAGAACTTCTACTTACAGGTACTCATTTCTACTCTTACTTACTTTGATTGCATCATTCCATGATTAATCAAAGCAGGGTTGTGATTTGGTTTATTAACCATTTTAATAATGACCCAGTTCATTGCTTATTTAGAATGAAATTTACAAAGCTTAGCAAAGAAAGTTGTGATATAGGAATTGAAGCAGAGAAGTTTAGTGCCAAGCACATCAATGGAACAATGGAAGAGCCAGAGTAGGGAAACATGATCTCCAAACTTTAATAATGTCGAGTTCAGAGGAAATGAATTTGTGGGGATGATTTCCCCTCCTGAAGAGTCCAATTTCCTTGCAAATAATCATCTTAAAAGGCGCTACATCACCCAAAATTCCAGGTCATGTAATTTTAGCATAGTTGTTTACTTTTCTTCGAGTGAGTTGGGAGTTGCAGGTTCTGAAGTTTGTTTTGGATTTTGATTGAGGTTAGAATGATGATTTGAGGCTATATTGCTTTGTCCCAATGAAGTCATGGAGCACAGTCAAGGTGAAAAGTCCGGAGTAACTAAGAACTGGTATGTCGTACTGTTGTTTCTTTAAAGAATGTGCCTTGCACAATTAATTTGAGAAGTAGGGAGGGTTAGCGGAAAAGTGAGAGATAACTAATTCTAGTTTCCTGTCTGTTTAACTAGATGTAACCTGACATGCACAGATCCTCACCAAATCGTTAATCTTGATTAGTGTATAATCATTGATACCCCATGCTCCCCTAATGTAGTTTCCTTTGTGTTTTATAATGGCAAGTCTAGGAAAGATATCTGTGTAAGTGTTATGTACCTTATTTGGCATCTCGTTGTGCTCCATCCATCTAAGTGATAAATTTGAGTTGTAGTATTTAGCACTTAGAAATTGGTGTTTCAAGCATGTATATACTAAGCCTTTTCTTAATGGAATCATATGGAAAAGCCTTCTGTCATAAATTTTCACTATCCAAACTTCCAAAGCCTTCCATCCATCATTTATATAACTAAATAAATTTCATTTTAATGTTTTTATTGCAAATTATTTTGTTATTATGCTGAACATAATTAATTAATTATAATATTGAGATTTTCTCTTATACTTTTCAAGGGGGGGGGGGGGGGGGGGGGGGTTGCAGCGACCTCATGAGTATCTCCCACATTCCTTGACTTAATTCAATTCTTTCAATGTATTTAGTCATGTGATCGATCAGCTTATTCTGGGTTTCAATCTAGCCTTGCCATATGTATAGCTAAATTTGTAAACCACAATATAACATAAAGTTCCTTCCACTTTTGAGTTTTGTCTAAATGTTTTGTTCCTTTGTTACACCCTATCACATAACTGAGCACCAGCCTCGATTCACCTACTGATGTTGATGTATGTTGTTCTTATGTTTAGCAGTATCTAGAGGGTATCTCCTCACAGTTCACAACATGCTGCCAGGGAGGGTGAGCTCGCAAAGGCAGAAGCCTCAAATGCTACTAAGAGAATGCCCCCAAATAATGTGATTTCAACTGCGGGCACTCCACATGCAATCTCAAAAGAAAGCATGAACTGATCATGAATAATGAAGTTTAATATTTCATGTTCCAATTGGTGGGTAATTTTAGTTTCTTTTCTATATTTTTATTAGCAAGAATGGTCCTACACCCACTGGATATATTAGTGGTTGGTAGAAGGATGCTTAATTAGATGTGTTTGGTTGTGATTAACCTTTTTATTAATGGATTTAGACTTGCATTTTTATTTCAGTTCTAAATTTATTAGGGGTGTATATCAGGTTCCTTTTGCATCATTAGATGTGTTTCATGTTTTATGATGCATACCTGTAATGAGAGGCTTTATGTTGAATGAATTTTGGGTGTCCATGTTCTGTGAGTGATATCATCTATTTTGTGCATATATAAGAGTTTGGTTCTTGATTTCATAATCTATGGCGTGTTGGTATTATGGTATGAGATAGAATTCTTCAGTGAATTCCCTTGAAGTTAAAGAGCGTAGATACAGCGTACTATATCCATTGTGAACTCTGAAAAAAGTTGTGATATATCTAATATGTGCATGCCACAGGTTGGTTTTTGATTTTGTATTTCTATTCATCCTGTTGGTTTTACAGTATTAGGTAGAATTCTGCTAGGCCTGGTATGCCTACTAGCCATTATGGAAATTGAACTCTCTAATAGATTTACTTTCTTATGGTACAAGTTTTATCTTTTATTCATGTCAAATATCATAGTCAAATTTGCTTAGAATAAATGGATTTTTAATTGGTTTTCTAATTGTTAAGATTGATTATGAATATATTATGGGAAGCAACTCACATGTCTCTCTTCACTGACTACATAGATAGCCCTTCTGAATATGTCATTCTTTTAAATCCTGTCTACATAGCAATAATATATATTATGAGGTCGACTGTTCAGGCATCTTGGCTTTTCTATGTTCAGTGTAGGTTTTAAGTAGTAGCCTCTCCTTACCAAGATTTAATTTAAAATATACCTTCTACCGGCCAATGGGCCGGGCTTCGACTGAAATTAATGCTATCCCATCAGTTATAATTGGCTTACTCAATGATTTGAGATAATGAGATAGGGAACAGGTGTGAGCTCGGTCCCATTTTTCTTGGATGCTTATAATCTTTTTGTGCATAACCATGTATTGAAAATCCTGTTTTGTCATGATTTTTTTGGTGTCTATTAGCATAAAACCATTGAACTCCTTTGCAATGTTAATATTATGAGGCCGGATCCTAGATTGGATATGTTATTATGTATTTTCCCCTCAGCTTATCACTCTTTCTCAGTTACGATTATATAGATTTAGTGCATTTGACAAACTTCCAAGTGATTATGTGTTTTATAAATTGAATCTTTTCCTACTAACTTGGAGTTACTTTAAAAGTACAGACGGTTTTAAAAGTTAAAACAAGCCAATTTTAATTTATCAACAATATATTTTTATACATGAATTTTTTCGTGAGTGGTGACTTCCTCAAATATTCAATTGGATAGACACATGTCCATGGATAATTTACAAATTTGGTTGAAATTCTGTTGACGTAAAATTTCATATTAATCAGCCACTTTGATCACCAACTACTAGAGCGACATGTGTATGAGTTCGAGAACTTTGTATTCAATCTAACTAAACGGGACTACGAATCAGTAGGGAATGGGTTGATGCGAGAGTTCACCAAAGAAATTGCTAAATGGTAACTAGATGACATAGAAAAAGTGATTAGACTCGCCAATTCACTCATAGCTACCTCCGACCAACGGACCGGGTCAAAGCTAGTAATGAATTATAGTGTAGTGTCAACATATCCGTATATTACTTGTAGGTGTTGAGTTTATTCTCTATTCAAACATATATAAGATTATTTTTTCCCTCCCAAAACTTGCCTGTCCTGGGACAAGGGCAAACTATCCTCCCTCCGGATTCTAGCAAAGTAGCACTTTCCCGCTAGTTTATTCAGTATTGGAGATGGTTATGACTTTATGAGTGTTGTATTCTTTTTCGGACATTGGCTCACCAATTCCAAACCCATTACCAGATTGGTAAATTCCCTATGTTTGGCCCTTCTTGTAGAAATGATTTTCGGGTTCAAAAGCTGAAGCAGGGCCAAACACCTGTAAAAGCTCGGCTTTTGAAAAGCCGAAAAGCGCTTTTGTATAACATAAAAGCAGAAGCTCCGATTTGGAGCTTCTGCGAAAAGCTGTTTTGAAAATACAAGATTATCTTTACCATATTTTAATTTTATTTCAGAAAATATAATTTTCCTTCATTTATATCATTTTAAAAATAAAATAAATTATAAAATCATATTATTTAATATAAAAGAAATCTAACAAAATCCATTTTGACTACTTTTTATTGTTTAGAATTTTTAATTATATTTTATATTATAAGTCCTTTATAGTCATTTTACACAACCTCTTATATTAAAAAGCACTTCTAATGGTTTTACAGCCAAACACTCAAGTGCTTTTTTTAAAAAGTGCTTATCTAAAAGCTCCAGTCAGAAGTTGCTTCTGCAAAAGCTACAGCAGGGCCAAACTAAACTATTATACCCACCGAGTCACTGGGCCTACCTTTGCATTTTTCCTGCCTGCTACCTTTCCAATCCTAGATCCAATAAGGAAAGTTAGCTTGAGTTAACCCGTTGGTTGACCCGCGGATTGACACATTTTGAGTATGATCTGGTAAAAAAATAGGTCACATACTGGCAGAGGTCGACCTTCTAGTCCGCTACAAGGCTACCGGGTTGGAGGGTACACAATATTTTTTTTCTTTTTGTTTGAAATGTGTCTATTTTTTGTTTTCTTTTCGTCTAACCATATATTTGGAATTCTAGTATGTTATTACTCATATATTGGATGAGATTTGATGAAATTCATAAATGTATGAATAATATAATTACTATTATTTCCATATATCCGAGCTAAACTGGTCTAAAATGATCGGACCATTAACTCTCAACCCACTTGCTCGACCAGACCAATGCGCTAAACCGGATTGACAACCTTATTCAGGAGCCGATCTCGTATCCGAGCCTGTGTACAAACTCAGGTTATAACCGGTTGGATTCGAGGGGATTTGATCAAATCGGCCAAATATTGACCAACAAAGAACCCCAGAATGTGCCCATCTGCGTGGAAGGAGGAGCCGTTTCTAGGTGCCGCCTCAACGTTCTCGCTTCTCGCACACTCTACTTCACCAGCAGAGGAGTCGACGAAGTGTCTTTCTCTCTCTCTACTCCCCACCCCTCGAATTTCAACACAATTTCTGCCCGCCGTCGCACTGCTCCTCCTCCGCTCACTCCTCCTAGTTACCGCATTTCCCCCGCCCCGCCACCATGAATATCTTCAGATTCCTCGGCGACATGACTCACCTGATCAGTATTCTAATTCTGCTTCTCAAAATCTACGCCACCAAATCCTGCTCAGGTAAAGTCCTACCCCCGCCGCCGTCGCCTAGGGTTTTGCTGCTCTTTTGGCCGTTATCGAACAAATTGATGCTGAAAATATCCGGCAGCTGAGTCCAATGCCGAAAAACTGATTGTTTTTTTTTATTAGGGATTTCTATGAAGACGCAGGAGCTGTACGCTTTGGTATTTCTCGCGAGGTACTTGGATCTGTTCACGAACTTTGTCTCCGTTTACAACCTTATTATGAAGCTGGTCTTCATAGCCAGCAGTCTCGCCATTGTGTGGTGCATGCGGAGGCATCCTCTGGTCCGGCGTTCTTACGATAAGGACCTCGATACCTGCCGTCACTATTTTCTCATCGGCGGAAGCTTTGTGTTGGCCTTGCTTTGGCACGAGAAGTTCACATTTGAGGAGGTGACTACTGGATGCTATTTTGTTAATCTTATGTCCTTGTTGATCCGGTGTGATTTTGGAATGATCATAGGTTGCCTTTTACCTCACTATAACTGGTTGAAGCATGTGATTGTGCTGTGACTTGGTCCTGCACCATTCTTTGCGAGTAGCGAAATTTGCTCTGAAATTCGACTGACAAGCTCCCAGAGATTAAACGCTGCTCTAGTTTTGTTAAGCTTTAGTACTCTCTATATCTGTGGTGCAGGCCATGCTTTATAAGTATGGTTTTGATTCTGGGATGAGACCATGGGAGGGTGGAAACAAGAAAAGGGGTTATATGCTTCGAGCTGGGAAGAGAAGCTCCCAGAAATAGACGCTGCTTCTTAATCTTTAGGGATCTTCTATATCGTCTTTATGATCTTTATGAATAAATTATCATTGGGAACTTGGAAGTACTTTATTAACTCAAGAGTTAGATAGATTGAATCTTATGGCCAGTTGTCTGTGCTGGCAAGCTGTTTCTGCTTCATATTCATTAATTCATATAGTCATGGTTTGCTGTAGATCTTCTGGGCCTTCTCAATATATTTGGAAGCAGTTGCAATTTTTCCTCAGTTGGTGATGCTCCAGAGGAGTGGCAATGTGGATAATTTAACAGGGCAATATGTCTTATTTCTCGGGTACATAAATACTCTCTTCTTAGCTCGAAGCAGTTCAATTTGTAGCTCTACTGTTTTGTAGGATAGTTATTGATGTTGATGCTCTATAGCATATTGGCATTTTTAAGAGTTTTGTTTATCTAGAATCACTGTTTTGTTGCACCACTTTGGGTCATGCAGTACTTTATCTAGATGGTCACTATCATTTAGAGCTCTGGGCAACATTGGGTTCAAAGAGCCCCCTTGAAACTTTTGTCGGCTCAAAGCTTTTTGCTTTATGCATTGTGCTTGATGAATTCTCTTTGGACTTCTGAACTTATTGGGGGATCTGCTTTTGCCTTCTTTTGATAATCCTGCCCTGTTGCCTGTTGGTGTCTTCTCGATGATGTAACGGATAACTGTTAGTACTAGTGTACGATGATGGTGGAGAGCTTTTCTGAGCTGATCTAACTTATAAATTATAATCATGTTTGTTCTCTTAGCATCATAGACTTAAGAGTTCGATCTTAATTCTCAGTTTGATTAATGTTTAACCATTGGTGTTTTCGATCATATTCTTGTCACGTTTGAGAACTCCTCATAGTTGCTGACTTGAGAAATGGGTGGATTGGTCCAGGATTTGATAATCTAACTTGCACTGTTGTGTGATCCTTATCTAGGATGTCCGAGTTTAGGGCTAGCGATTAGAAGAAAACACAATACCAATTCAGTGGTTAGGTTGTTTCGTACATTATACTGGCATAGTTAAATTGCTGGTATATTAGTTTTGCACAATGAGCAAGTTCACTGCCACCCAGTTTCAGGTTTCAGCTCATTCCTGTCAAATGTGCGGAGATACAGGGATCTGCAATATAGTAAAGTTTATGAACAAAGTTGAATAGGAAGTCATGTTTTGAACCTCAATGGTGAGCAATTATATGTAGCTCACGTTTTGAGTTTTGATTGCAAAGTACCAAATCAATTAGCTTTTTTACTTGGTGGAAAATCAAACCAGTGGTGACAGGTGACAGCCTTTCCTTGTTATCGATTAAAATGTCCGGTGCTTAGATGTTTACTAGAGATCATTGTAGATATCCAGTTTCTGAACATGGCACTGTGATGTGCTGAATGCATGCAACCCAACATCAGTAAATTTTAGGAGTGACCCAGTAGTTTCTTTGGACTTGCAGGGCCTATCGTGGACTCTACATCTTGAACTGGATATACCGTTATGTGACTGAGAAGCATTTCGGACGTTGGATAGGTAAAACAGCAACGACCACTATCTCCTCGCCGATTGTCCCTCATATTCTTCTGTCTTCCTATATTTATAGATAAAATGTTGCACTTTGATATAACTCTTGCCCTGGGTTTTTTTACTTCAGCTGTTATCTCTGGTGTCGTACAAACAGCCTTGTATGCGGACTTCTTCTACTACTACTTTTTGAGGTATGCAAGTCGTTTGTGTTTGTGCTGGTCCAAACACCCTGATAACCTGTCCTTTTCTCTTAAATCTCAATTGTCACTCTTCTTCTTCAGTTGGAAGAACAACGCAAAGCTTCAGCTACCAGCTTGAAAGCCGGGACATAGTTTCATCATGAGGTGCTTACTGTGGGGTGAAAGTTCTAACAAGGGTTTTATGTAGTCAGCAGCTAGAGAGTTTACAGAGAAAACAGGGGTTTGCATATCCTAAATGATTTTACTTTTTGGATTACATGAGATAAGATATTTGCTCATAGTTTTGAAATGGTCCTTGGTGGGTTTTCTGAGTAGCAGCAGCAGCCTCCGTTTACTTCCATAGATGTAAAGGCGGATGGATGGATGGATACAAGGGTAGGAGTAGGGGCTTTACCACCATTCACCGTTGACTGGTGATGTCAACTGATTTACCATTAACCCTTGTTAAAGTCATATGATACACGTTTGCTGAACCGTGACAAACATTGGTTTCATTTCTTTGTTCAAATTTGCAACTTGGATTCTTTGTTTCGTTTTCTTCCTCATTTCTGTGTTGCGTTGCTTTATCCGATGCGAAACTGAAAGCGGCCGGGAAGGGGAGAGCTTATCTCTTGCCATATGGACAAGGACGAAACTGCTAATTGCATTTGCCACTTGCCAGGCTCTTGCTCTCACCTTTGGCCGCTTGTGCCGGATATATTTGGCTCTTGCTTCCTAAATTCTATATTTATCTTAGAGATTCCTCTTCTGTTCTCTTGTATGAAATGGGTGGCTTGGTTTCGGAGTTTAATTTATAGGTTCATCAAATGTGTGGATTCAGACAGGATTCAATTGGAATAGCTTGTTTGTTATTGTAGAATCAGATTGTGAGCCGTCTTGATTTAGAGGTATATCTATGGTAACATTATTTCACTGTGTACCCAATAATTAATTCTAGCTGATCATGTTGTATAGGGATCATCCAATCAAAATCAACATCTATGATTCGGAGATCCTCACATTCTAAATGCCTCAAATATGCTGTAAGTAAAAATGCCTCAAATATGCTCTAATTAGCTGATTATCTTGTATATATATGGATCATCGATAGCAATAACTACCTACGATTCAAAGATGCTCGCATACTATATATTGAAAAAAAATTAACCAAATATAGAAGCTGAAGTCTCAGCTCAGTCATACGAGGCAAACGATGGATAAATTATTTATAAGAATTATGGATAAAACCAAGTGAATTCACTTGGGGAAAAAAAATTCAAACCAATTACACTCGAGTTTATGTTTATCCATAAAAAAAGGAAATAAAAACAATACCTAAGAAGAGGCTGTAGGAAAAGAAGAAGAAAAAAATCTAAAGAGGAACGGGCCCGCCGCGGAAACTGAAATTGGACTAATCCAACAGAAGAGTCCAATAGCCCAAGTGGAGAGTCATTTTAAGTTTTAACACATCAACCCGCTTTGATCCGCCCCGCGGTGCAAATATGGTTGGTCGTATCTTACGTGTCGGAATATAATTGGTCTCATCTCGTGGCCACCTGCCCACCCTCTTTATGTAAACTGTTGCTTGCGACCTCTTACCCACATCGTCATTTCTCGGAGCGGGTCAAATAACGAGCCGCGTCCTGCTCTACTTCTCTGCGAGCTCCATCTCCCCTCATCTCGACAGATCGCGTCTGAAAGTAAGGCTCTATCCTTACGAATTGCTGAATCTGTTTATGGCCAGGGTTTAGTGACTCGATTGCTTAACGCATTTCTCTCCACTTGCGCATTGGCAATCGAGCTAGATCGGTGCAGTTCCTGTGTATTGATTTCAAATATCCACTTGCATGTTCTGATAACTAGGGTTTCGATTTAGGCCTTACCGATCTGTCTGCTCGGTTTCATTCAATTTACGCCAATTTCGTATCCCGATTTGCCGTCTTATTTCTGGATCTGTGTTCTCATCATCAATTTTGGCTGCTGTGTGAAGGTTATTGTGCCCTCTTGAGTTGTGAGAAAAATGGGAGGGGGATTCAGGGTTCTGCATCTGGTCAGACCTTTCCTTTCGTTTCTGCCCGAGGTGCAGAGCGCAGACAGGAAGATCCCATTCAGAGAGAAGGTCATCTACACTGTTATCGCGCTCTTCATCTTCCTGGTGTGCAGTCAGCTCCCGCTCTACGGCATCCACTCTACCACCGGCGCCGATCCATTCTATTGGATGCGTGTCATTCTCGCCTCCAACAGAGGTACCGTTATGGAGCTTGGAATTACCCCCATCGTTACTTCTGGATTGGTGATGCAGCTCTTGGCTGGATCCAAGATCATTGAAGTTGACAACAGCGTTCGTGAGGATCGGGCTTTGCTGTAAGTCATTACTGCAATTCTGTCTTTCATCTGCTTAGCATGTGGAGTTGTTGGTGATGCGGAGCGGTTGTTAAATGCTGAGCTTTAATTCTCTGAGATTGGACAGCTTTATGCTTTTTTCATACTTCATGCCTGTTGATGGTTTTCGCCTGTTTGGCAATCTGTTGTGCAGTGTTTGGTGTTGTTTCTTCTGACATCTTGTATATATCATTGGCGGTGATTAGGAATGGGGCACAAAAGCTGTTGGGTATCCTGATTGCTGTTGGTGAAGCTGTTGCGTATGTGCTATCTGGGATGTACGGCAGTGTTGGTCAGTTGGGTGTTGGGAATGCGATTCTCATCATTCTTCAGTTGTGCTTTGCTGGCATCATTGTTATATGTCTGGATGAGCTGCTCCAGAAAGGATATGGTCTCGGCTCTGGGATTTCTCTCTTCATTGCCACCAACATCTGGTAGGGACGCATTCATAAGTTTCTGCTTTCGTCGTTGGTTTAATTGTGGCTGATTGGTTTCACGGACTGTAGCAATGAAAAGTATAATGCATGGAATGTGTTGGGAATGGATTTGGATATTCCATCATTTGGATGCATTTTTAGTAATGCCGGAAAACGACCATGGAATTCAACTAGGACAACAGTTCATTTACCATTGTTGGCGACTAAGAAACTTATAACAACGACAACAGTTTATTTACCTGTCCTCGTCAAATTTAGATTCCATCTCTACCACTTTTCGTCTCCTTGACATACTATACCAAATGAGTTCACTTTTTATCGCATTATGGAATTTAACTCTACAATGCATTAACACATTTCATAAACCAGACTACTCATTAATTTATCTATGCTGGGTTCTGATTTTTGTATGCTCAAATGTTAATTCAATGCAGTGAAAACATCATCTGGAAAGCATTCAGCCCCACAACCATCAACAGTGGTCGAGGTGCTGAGTTCGAGGGTGCTGTCATTGCCTTGTTCCATCTCCTCATCACTAGGACGGACAAAGTTCGGGCTCTTCGAGAAGCTTTCTACCGGCAGAATCTTCCCAATGTTACTAATTTACTTGCCACAGTCTTGATCTTCCTCATCGTTATCTACTTCCAAGGTTTCCGTGTTGTGTTACCTGTGAGGTCTAAGAATGCTCGTGGACAGCAGGGTTCATACCCTATCAAGCTTTTCTACACCTCCAACATGCCAATCATTCTCCAATCTGCACTTGTTTCCAACCTCTACTTCATCTCTCAGCTGCTCTACAGGAAGTACAGTGGCAATTTCTTTGTCAATTTGTTGGGAAAGTGGAAGGAGTCTGAATACTCTGGTGGTCAGTTCATCCCTGTTGGTGGCCTTGCATACTATGTCACTGCCCCAGCTAGGTAAAGGAAGCAGCACATCTATTTGTCTCTTTCGTCTCCCTCCATGCGTGTTGTATCAAATTGCTAAATGTTGTGTATTTTGTGGTGCGTTCTTCCACTGATGTGTGTGTTCTGGTTTGGTGTGTCTATGAACTTCATCTATTGCAGCTTGGCAGACATGGCGGCCAACCCGTTCCATGCATTGTTTTACCTGGTATTTATGCTTGGTGCCTGCGCACTCTTCTCAAAAACCTGGATTGAGGTTTCTGGGTCTTCTGCCCGTGATGTTGCCAAGCAATTGAAGGTAGGATTTGGCAATCACCTGCGATTATTTGCTTCTACTCTCTCCAGTTTCTTTCTAATCAGTGTTCTGTAGTTTGATCTTCTGGTCGTGGTACCTGATGATGTGTGCTCTTCCATTTTGCAGGAGCAACAAATGGTTATGCCAGGACACCGTGACTCAAACCTGCAGAAGGAGCTGAACCGCTACATCCCTACAGCAGCTGCTTTTGGTGGGATCTGCATTGGCGCATTGACGGTGCTGGCTGATTTCATGGGAGCAATAGGTTCGGGAACTGGTATCCTACTGGCAGTCACCATCATTTACCAGTACTTTGAGACCTTTGAGAAGGAGAAGGCCAGTGAACTCGGCTTCTTCGGGTTTTAAGAGCCCATGTTAGTGTTACTGCTGTAGTTGTTTTTTCCCCTTCCCTGTATCCTTTTGTTACTTAATTACGTGTTAGGAAGAGAAGAAGATACGAAAGTTGGTCAAAGTGACAGTTTTTTGGGTGAGAAGCTAGTTCTTTTTCATTCAACTGTTTTAGCTACATTTAGTGTAGACTTTAAAAGTCGGAAGTTTAGTGCTTCATGTTAAAACTGGTTGATATAGTCTGTGGTTGGTAAGTTCAACTGATGACAAACTTGGGGAGATGCCTCTTTTTTTTTTTTTTTTTTTCTTCTACTCGTTCAAAGGTAAGATAATTTTACTGTTGAGATTCCCAGTTTCACCTCTGACCTCTTCAAGGATAAGAACATAGGGTTGGAGACAAATAGAAATGAGGTTGTTGTGGGCCTGTGGTGGAGGTTGGGCTTCGTTGATTTAATTGTCTGCTGGAATGGACACCACAGAATCCGTAGTCTGAGCCGTCGTTGATCAACTGCTTCATTGGGCTCTGATTGTTCCCCAGAACAGAAGTTAGAATGAAGCCCAAAGAAGTCTTAACGGCGTCCGCAGGATGAACCATCGGTCTTGTACTCTTGTTCCATCTTCCATCCATGGTCCATGAGTGATGAGACCATAGCACCGGGAAAGTCAGCAGTACGATATTTTAGTATAAAACTGTAGTTTAACCGTTAGATCTTTAAATATTGCCTACCAATTTAGTCTTCAATAATGGTATTTTGTGGTTGAAATAACATGTCTTTTGTATGCCAACCTTGAACTGAATAGTTAGTTCATTATGACATGTTTAAATTCAGAGTCACAACTATGGATCATCTATCCAAATCTAATCTAAAGAATATAATAAGGAGTTTCTCAAAAATGGCTTCTTAGATTCAAATTTCTCCTTCCCTGACGCATCCACGTCAGTACAGCCCTTACCCAATCAAATTATTTCAAGAAAAAAAATTCAACCAACAAAAAAATCTATCCCTCGGTGAATGCTTCCTACATTTTTCGGATTTTTCTTTTCGGTAATTAGACTTTCATTGAAGCTCCCTTAAACCAAAACGGCAAAGGCGGTCAAAAATACAAGGACAAGTAACGTCCACATAACAGCTCTGAAAAGCTATAACCTATCTATACAAATTCCCTCCAAAAAGGAACCACCAGCATGTTACTACAAAATTGGCTATTACCCAACGAGAACAACAAAACATCTCGCTTGATTTGAGTAAACAATTGCTGCCATGATCGTTGCACCCCTTCAAAATAGCGCCTGCAACGCTCCTGCCAAATCAAACTCACAAACCAGCACCATAACGCAGCGAAACAACGTCCCTGAGCCCCTCGAACAGCCTCCTGGCACGCCACCTGCAGAAAATGATCCCAATCTCCTGGCCAGGATATCCCCATCCTGCCAAACAGTTCAACAAGCAACTCCCTACTATACTGACAGCCACAAAACAGATGGCTTCGAGTCTCATCTCCATTCGAACAAAGCAAACATCTTGCATCAGTGATGCTACCCCACTCCCTAAGCTTATCTCGAGTAGTTATTCTATTTAAGATAATTATCCAAGCATTAATTCTGTATTTCGGAATCACATGCTTACTCCAAACCAATTTTCACCATGGCACAACAGCCTGTCTTGTGCGAATAGAATTCCATACCTGTTGCACCTTGAACTTGAGCATAATCTTCCCTTCCCAAAAAACTTCGTGTTGAGCATTAACACTCATCCGGAACTGAAACCATCCCCTCAGCTGCAACAATTTACGCCAAATCCACGAACCAACAGAAGCAGGAGGCAGATCCCAGATTGTGAGATCCTTCAGCCTATACTTGTAAATCCATGCAACCCAAAAACTCCCTCCTTGCATCAACAAAAGCCAAATCAATCTAGCCATACACGCAGCATTCCAGGAGTGAAGATCCCGAAAACCAACTCCTCCTTCCTTCTTTGGCAATGCCAGTTTTTCCCAAGCTATTTTTGCCCTGTCCGTTCCCTCTCCAAACCACAAAAAATCAGAGCAGATCTTTTGAATTTGAGAAATGACTTTCTTTGGAAGCACAAAAATGTTCATCCAAAATTGAACTAAAGAATACAAAACTGAGGAAACCAACTGAATTCGACCCGCGTACGATAATGAGTTAGCTTTCCATGATCTGATTCTGCTCGTGAGCTTATCCACTAATACTGCACACTCTTTACTTGTGAGGCTTCCAGTTATCAGTGGTAAACCCAAATACCTTACCGGCAGATGCCCTTCCACAAATCCAGAAGCCTGCAGAGCAGTCCTCTTATACTCCAAATTCCTTCCATCAAAAAACACCTCACACTTCTGAGGATTACATTTCAATCCAGACTGAATATAAAAGTCCTCTAATATTTTCTTTACCCTTAATAAAGCAGTACCAGATCCTTCCGTGAAAATCAGTAGGTCGTCTGCAAAGCATAAGTGCGTCAACCCCACTGATTTGCACTGTGGATGATAAGGCAGCTGTTTAGTCTGGGCTGCCAGGTCCAGCATCCCTGAAAATGGCTCTAATGCAATAGTAAACAAATAAGGCGATAGGGGGTCGCCTTGTCTCACCCCTTTCAGGGCAGGGAAGAATCCAAACAGTGAGCCATAGAGGGAAATACTAAAATAACCAGATTCCAAACATGCTTTAATCCAATCCATGAATTCTCCTGGGAAGTCCATAAGCTCCAGCACACAAAATAGATAGGACCAGCTAACAAAATCAAAAGCTTTCTGTAAATCTATTTTAACAGCACATCTTGAGGCCACAGTTCTCTTTTTATAGTTCTGAACCATTTCCTGCGCCATTAAGATGTTATCCAATATGCTTCTCCCCTTTACAAAAGTCGATTGATTCCTACTGATAACCCTCGGTAACACTTGTTGAATCCTATTTGCTAACACTTTAGCTACTATTTTGTATAACACGTTTATGCACGCTATAGGACGAAAAGCAGTTAAAGTGTCAGCAGTAGGTACCTTTGGAGCGAGGGTGAGAGAAGTTGTGTTCATTCCTTTTGGAAACCTCTTGTCACAGAAGAATTCCAGCACCCCCTTAAAGATATCCTCTCCAATGACCAGCCAATTCTTTTGGTAAAACCCCACAGACCACCCATCAGGCCCTGGAGCTTTAGATGGCTCCATAGAAAACAACGCATCTCTAACTTCCTGACGCGTAACAGCCTTACATAACTCCCGTTTGTCACATAAAGGAACTGTTCTAGTCACAAATTGTTTTAAAAACAATTTATCTGGTTGGATCTCTGCATTGACCACCCCATACAATCCTTTGTAAAAACTGACTACCTCCCCTGCAATCTCTTCTGCTTCTGTTAATATTGTCCCAGATTCCAACCTGAGTCTTCGTATTTGTTTCTTTGCTTGCCTTATTTTCACTGATTTGTGAAAAAACCCAGTGTTAGAATCACCCAAGGTCAAATACTGGATCCTAGACTTCTGCTTATAAAAACTTTCCTCCGCTAATTGCAGCTGCTTAAACTTTACAGTTACTTGTTTCATCTCCTCAAAAGTCTCTTCAGCAGGTGAATTAAGTGCTTGCAGCTGAGCCTCTTTCACTATTCTTTCAGCTTCCTTAACTCTACTCGAAATATTCGAGAACTCCTCTTTATTAAGTTTCTTCAACTCTTGCTTCAACAGACCTAGCCTCTTTTTAATACTCCATAAATGTGAACCAACAATCTTATTCCCCCAGCAATTCTGCAGTAAACTGTCATATTTACTATGCTGCATCCACGTCTCATAAAACCGAAAAGGTTTTGGAAAGCTCTTCATAGCAACTGTCGGACAAATTGAAATTCCACAATGATCAGAGAAAGCTGGAGCCAGAAATTCCACCACACATAAAGGCATCTTTGTAAACCAGTCATCATTAACCAGAGCTCTATCTAGCTTCCTCGCTATCAGATTATTCTTCTGTTGGTTATACCACATGTGAAAAGGACCCGAAGCCTGATGATCCACAAGTTCCATCCCTTCCATCCAACTTCGAAAAGAAAGCATACTATTAGAAATAGCAACAGTATTTGATGCTTCAACTGGACTGAGAATTGCGTTGAAATCACCACAAACAAGCCATGGGAAACCCTTAACCTGCCATCTCCCCAATCTAACATAAGTAGTGGCACGTTCCACTTCGTCATTTGAAGCATAAACCGCTGTAAAAAAGAACTGTTCCTTCCCAGAAATAGAAACTAAGGAGTGTATAAAGTTTGCATCCCTTTCCAAAATCCTAATCTTCACCTCATCTGTCCATCCAATCCAAATCCTCCCCAAAGGATGCTTAGCATAGTTATCATCAAATGAAAAACCAGTAAACTTATTTTTTATGTTATCTGAATTATTCCTCTGAACCCTTGTTTCCAACAAAACCAATACTTGAATCTTGTGACGACGTACATATCCCAGCACAGAATTGTGCTTCAAGGGGCAATTGAATCCCCTTGCATTCCACACAAGCACTGTCATTTAACAAGTGGGGGGACCAAAGTCCCTTTCTGACTACGTAAACCCTCTCGCCCCTTAGATGGAGCAGGCTGCAGAGTTACCCCTTTCGCACAGATAGCAGCAAACGAATTATGCAAAGTTATAGAAGACCTCTGCAAAATCGTTGGACCAGCCTTAACACCATTCACAACTGTGTCAAACTCCTCCTGGGAAGGAAGAGCGCTTGGGGTTATTGGTGGTGTTTCACACACTTCCTTGCCACTGTCAACCCTCACCTCTTTACCCACTGAAACATCTAGTGTCTCAGAATTAAGCACCTGCAACTCCACAACCTCTGTACCCAAAGAACCATCCACTACCTCTGTACCCAAAGAACTATTCATTCTCTCAGAATCCACCTCCCGCAGCTCCGCTGTTGTGATTTGCTTCCTTCGCCAAACCTTCCTAACATTATTAGTACCATTTCCTGGAACCGAACAGTCATGCCCAAATACACAGCAAGCAGTGCAAAGCTTTGGCAATCTACAATATTCCACTGTTATGAACATCTTTTCGGATTTTTTTTCCTTTTGCAATTTTAGTGTACTTTTACGGTTTTTTTTCCTTTACATGTTTTATTTATCTTTAAATAAAATATATGTATACCTTTTAGATATAAGTTATATTCCTTACCATATAAAAATATTACTACCATGTATTATATATTTAAACTATATATAAGTTTGTCACCGTGTTTATAATAAAAAATAAAAAAGTTATATTTTATATGCACTAGCAAGTTGTAGAGTATATTGCATAGCATAATCATTTGACTATGTTGGGTGAGGTTCAATCCCAATATTTTAAACATTAACTGCACGTTATTTGAAATTTAGAAAATTATGGAATGCCATGTATTGTTTAGATATTTATTTTTAGTGTTTCATGTATCGAGATTTCATGAACCACCATTTGAAAATAAAATGATTTTAAAAACTTTATCTCCACCTAATTCAAGATTGGATAGATGAACTATTATGAGTTTGATGATAAAAAATTGAAATATTATAACATGATCATGTTATACATTTAGCCAAAAGTTAATATATCTTAATTAAGAGTTGTATGTTTTCACTTATAAATTAACTTATATCGTATCAATATCGTGGGTGTCCCTGGAGGGACTAAATTAGCTATGTATATTTACGAGTCAAATTTTCAAACATACATTCGGGTCATACACAAAGAATAACAAAATTTTTATAATATATGAAAAATGATTCAAGTATGACAACAAATTATTTGATATAAATGTAGTGTATGCACGTTGCACAAGATTAACGAGAGTTTCAAAAATATGAACAAAAAGTTTCAAAATTAATTTAATGTTTAAATGAAACTCACCCGGCCAATGGTCGGGATCAAAGCTAGTAGTAATATGATAAATTTACACATAAAACTTGCTTTTAGAGACAACTAATTAGAAGCAATTATTGTGTTAATCTCTATATCTAATTTTCGGAGGCATATATATTATTTGCATCAGTATGTAATACTATTTGTCTCTCTTTCTTAAAAATTTAATAATAATTTATATAAAATAAATAAAAATAATAGCTTTAGAGGCAATTATCCTATTTGCGGCTATAGAATTATAACTCATATGTATAGAGGCAAATCTACTATTTTTAGATGCAAATACAATAGCTTTAGTAATACTATTTTTAGTTGTAAGTTGTGACCGTTGCTTAGGGCATGTTTACTTTCATTTCTGTTTCCTGTTTTTGAGAAAACATATGTTGAAAACAGGTGAAAACAACATTTTTCCGTTTCCGAAAACAGCAGGAAGTTGCCACTTTCTGTTTTCATGGTTGGAAACGAATAGAAAACAGAATGAAAAGTAAACAAGTTTTCTCATTTCGGTTGCCAAATTTATCACATGAAAACAGAAAACAGGAAACGAAAATGGAAGTGAATTTACATAGTTTATTTGTTGCGTATAGTTTTATATATTTATTATATATATATATATATATTGTTTTGCTTAATTGGGGATTGGTTAAATTAAAGGTAGTGGCGTAATTGTAGAAGCAAGCCAAAACCCGTTCCCCTTTTGCTAATCAAACACTTTTTCCAAAGTTTTGTTTACCTAGCAATCGATCCATACCACCGCCACCGTCAAAACTTGATGGATCTCTTATGCGTCTAAGCTGTAGTTGATTCCACAGTCTGCTTCCCTGGTCGGAAGCTGCACAAGTCTCCAAAGAAGATCGACAAGCATATAAATCTCATATTCAAACCCTAGGTTGCTGATTTCCCTTATAACCCCGATATACAAAATCGCACAACTCCAATCTAGCATCGGTTATTGTGCCTTCACGGTGAGTGCTTTCAATCAAGATTTTTATCAATGTAGCAGCCGTCGTTTCATCTTCTTTTGCTTGGATCCAGATCGGCCAAGATATTTAATAACTTTTAGAGATAATTATAAATGGTTTTGCAAGAGATAGGGGCTTTAATATAATATAATATAATATATAGTTTTTTCCACATAAAACGAAGAGATAACTAAAGGTTGCAAGTTGCAACCCTAGCCTCTCTCCACCTTATCGCCTCCTCACCTCCCGCTCCGTCCTTTCCCCTCTCATCTTCTTCCCGGCCTCAAAACCTACGAACAAAAGGAGAAAAATCAGAATCCAAAATCATCCTCCTCCTTCTGCCTTCTCTTGTTCTATGTTTCAGTTCTCTTGTCTCTTCCGGAACGAGGATCAACAAGCGGAAAGAAGAAGAAGAAAATGAACCAAGGTTCTTTCTTCACTATCTTCCATCGCCGTCCAGACATCCACCAGACCCGATCAGAGAGTGTGTCATGCAAGCTTATTTTCTTTTGATTTGATTTGCTTTTAATTCCTTTTGATTTTGCTATCACTTATATGGGTTTTGGATTCAGACGAGGGTAAAGAGGCGTCGCCGGACACTTTGGATACCAACCCACTGATGAGTTTGCGTATTGCTTTCTGGGTTTGTATATTGCATTTCCTGATTTTTGGGTTTTAATTTATTTTTTTGTGGTGGTTTGATGATTTGGGGCTTAGGATAGGGTGAGTAACCCTTTGTTACTCACCCGTGAGTAACCACTTAGGAACCGTTGATCTGGGGCGGACGGATCGTGTGGCTGTCATTGAAGCGGGATGGTCAGGGGCATTTTTGTCCGTTATTTGAATTAATGAGTTTCCCCTTTTGTCCGTTGCGAATCTTTCTGTGCGCGAGTTGGATTCGGATTTTGGAGAGTCTCAACTACGAGCAGGGGAGCAGCAGCTGAGAAACAAGGACGGCGATTCTCCATGGTTGATCGACGGCGATAGAAACTGCGAGCAGCAGCTTCGAATCGAGCTTTCTGATTCTCGGTCTCCATAATTGATCGACGTGTGCGCGAGTTGGATTCGGATTTTGGAGAGAGAAATTGCGAGCAGGGGAGCAGCAGCTGAGAAACAAGGATGGCGATTCTCCATGGTTGATCGACGGCGATAGAAACTGCGAACAGCAGCTTCGAATCGAGCTTTCTGATTCTCCATAATCGATCGACGTGTGCGCGAGTTGGATTCGGTTTTTGTAGAGAGAAACTGCGAGCAGCTGCTGTGAAACAGGGGACGGCGAATCTTTTGTGATTCTCCATAATTGATCGACGACGAGGTTAGATATTAGTTTTTTTTATTCTTCCTGTTTAGCTAATCGAGTTTTCTGTTGATCTCTGGTTTCGTTGGAGGTTTTTCATTGCTGCTAGTCGAGCTTGTTTATGTTTAGCTAATCGAGCTTGTTCATGTGTTATGTTCTTTGTGTTTTGGTGTTTTTGTAGTATTCTGGTGAGATGAGTTACGTAAATTGTGGCGATGTTGTTCCAATTGATAGATCTGGTTCTTCAACCAGCGTTGTAGGATCTGGTTCTTCATCTAGTGCTGTTGGAATTGCTTCTTCATCTATTGATCTTGGATTTGATCATTCAGCTAACTCTGGTGAATCAGGAGGTAAGATATACAAATTTGTTTGTTTATTGAAGTTTGTATAGTGTCGTAATTTGATTTTACCATGCCTTATCATGTGGTAATTGATTTTACAGTACATTACCATGTGGTAAAATGTGGTAATTAGGAAGTTAAATGTGATGGTTCTGTGTGATAATTGATTTTACCATGCCATACCATATGGTATAGTGTGGTAATTTGATTTTACCATGCCTTATTATGTGGTAATTGATTTTACAGTACATTACCATGTGGTAAAATGTGGTAATTAGGAAGTTAAATGTGAGGATCCTGTGTGATAATTGATTTTACCATGCCATACCATATGGTATAGTGTGGTAATTTGATTTTACCATGCCTTATCATGTGGTAATTGATTTTACAGTACATTACCATGTGGTAAAATGTGATAATTAGGAAGTTAAATGTGAGGATCCTGTGTGATAATTGATTTTACCATGCCATACCATATGGTATAGTGTGGTAATTTGATTTTACCATGCCTTATCATGTGGTAATTGATTTTACAGTACATTACCATGTGGTAAAATGTGGTAATTAGGAAGTTAAATGTGAGGGTTCTGTGTGATAATTGATTTTCCCATGCCATACCATATGGTATAGTGTGGTAATTTGATTTTACCATGCCATACCATATGGTATAGTGTGGTAATTTGATTTTACCATGCCATACCATGGTGGTAACTCTTGTATCATGGCTGTAATTATTGGTATACATTGAGATTTCATACTGTTGTGGTGTGGAATCCATTTAATATGTTGTTTCATAATGTTTGTAGGTTTCAATGGTATAGATCCTACTGTTCGTGATTCTTGGAAGGACTTAGAGTTCAATACACCAGATGATGCATATAATTTTTATGTTGATTATGGGAATCATGAAGGTTTTGGTGTGAGGATTTATAACCAATCAGCGTGTCCGAAGCTCAATGGTGGTTCTTCAGCTGTATATTATATCAAGTATTGTTGCAATAAGGAAGGTTGGAAAAGAGGTAGCGAGAATAACCCTGATAATGCAGGTGTTGTTGATACGACAGTTCGTGTTCGTAATGTTCCAGAACTCAGGGGTGGATGTAATGGTGCTTATATACGACTGAGGTGGTTTAAAGAGTTTAAATGCTACAAGATCTATCGTTGGTGTAATGTGCACAACCATGACATGATTCCTGAGTCTCTGCGTCACTATGTGAGATCCAGCAGACGAATGGCTCCTGTGTATAAGATGTTGGCAGAGGTGAATGATGCTGCTGGTATTGGTGTGACTTCTTCGTATAATGCAATTAGTAGGGCTGGTGGTGGTCGGAAGTTTGTTGGGTTCACAAAGAATGATATGAAGAATCATCTGCGAACGGTTAGGACGTTATCAATGGAATATGGTGATGCGACTGCATTGCTTGAATACTTTAGACGTCAAGCACAGCTGGATCCTGGGTTCTTTCATGAGGTGGAGGTTGATGTTGAAGAGAACATTGCTAGTATTTTTTGGGCAGATGGGAAGATGAGGATGGATTATCATTATTTTGGTG